CGAAGAGTATGTTGTTGTTGAGTGGGTAGATGTGCGTGCGTGCGGGTGTCGTCGCTGCACCTTCTTAGAGGTGAGGTACTCCATGCCGCGTGCCACCTGGCAGGCGAAGGCCACCAGCTGCAGCATGGAGAGCGTTTCGCCCTTCACCTCGTCGCCACCACCACCGCCACCACCGCCACCACCGCCACCCACCCACCCCCCCCCCGTACCCACGCCACCACCCGCACCGCCACCACCGCCACCGCCGCTCCGTAGCCCCACGCACCGTGCCTCTGCGCCGGGCGTGCGGTGTGCACGCAGGAAGTCGCGCAGATTCCCCTTGGCCGCAAACTCAACGATCACGAGCAGGGGGCCTGGGGGAGTTGGGGGGGGAGGGGCACGATGAGATGTTAACTACCTCGCCTGGTCTACAGGAGGTCGCGAGTTCAATTCCAACTCTGACGATGCCTGCTGCTGTATATTTGGAGTCTGTGTGTCTCTCCCATCATCATCACGGTGGCTATGAGATGTTAACTACCTCGCCTGGTACGCAGGAGGTCGTGCGTTCGATCCAGATGGATTTTTATTTCCTCCGTGTCCTACGGTTTTTCCCCTTTTCACATTTGGAATCGACGTCGCTACTAATGTCCACCAGAAATCATCCGTGATGGCCAGGTGGCTTCCAGAAAAAGAGCAACGCAGCTCGAGGGGAAGGGGGGTCTTGCCTGACGACATACAAACTGGTGAGCAGCGGCGGGCAAGTCGCTCTCAACAGCAAACGTCACTGGGGCTGCCGCTGTCAAGCAAAGCGGCTTGAGCTGCCGTGAGTGGCGGCGGCGGCGGCCAGGGGTCGCTTCTGAAGAGGAGCCGCACAGGCAGCGGAGCGGAGGCCTCGCCTGCTGCTCGAGTTGTCTACAAGTTCGTGTTGGTTTCATTGGCTTCGAAATAGAGAGGGGACGGGGAGGGCAATGATCACAATCCCGGTTCTTTAGAAGCCGAGTCACCAAGAAGACGACCCAACTCTCGGCTTTGCCAAAATCACTCGCGAAGCCAAATTAGTCCACAAGGTGAAGAGTTCATCGCCATGACGTGGGAGGGGGGCTGCTCACCCCCCCGCTCACCACCCCCCCACACTCACCACCCACACTCACCACCCACGCTCACCACCCCCCCCCCACGCTCACCACCCACACTCACCACCCCCGCTCACCACCCCCCCGCACTCACCACCCCGCTCACCACCCACACTCACCACCCACACTCACCACCCGCCCGCTCACCACCCCCCCACACTCACCACCCCCCCACACTCACCACCCACACTCACCACCCCCCCCCCCACGCTCACCACCCACACTCACCACCACACTCACCAACCCCCCCCACCCACCCACCCACACTCACCCCCCCCCACACTCACCCCCCCCCCCCACGCTCACCACCCCCCCACACTCACCACCCACCCCCCCCTCACCCCCCCCCACGCTCACCGCCCCGTGTGCATGCGCCCAGCAGGTTCACCAGGTGGCTGTGCCGTCCCATCTTCTTGAGGGTCTCCAGCTCCGCGTGGAGGTCGTGGGTCTCCGCTTCCGTGGCGTGCGCTGGGCTCGCATGCCGCACGTCCGGACCCAAATTAAAAACAAACTCTTCTAGCGGTAAAGTCACCACGTAGAATGCAAATAATAAAATAATGAAACATAATAAAATAATAAAACATAATTTAGTAATACAATTAAACATAATAAAATGCAATTCTCACGACGTTTCGGCCACCTCAGGTGAAGAACAGGTCTGTCTTTCCGACAGACCTGTTCTTCACCTGAGGACGGCTGCTTGCGTTGTGGCCGAAACGTCGTGAGAATTGTATTTCATTGTTTTTTTTTATTCTTTCATTATTTCCCTTCTACGTGACTTTACCGAAAGAACCAAGAAGATGAATCCCTGCAGTCACGAAAGCTTTACATCGAAATGTAAACTTGTAGCGATCGCCCCACAAACTCCTAGTTCTAGAACCCCGCGGGCGTCACCCTTCAGCATCTTGACGGCGACGCGGACGCTGCGATGAGGCCGTGACGGCTCCATGCCCAGCGCCTCGGCCAGCAGCACGCGGCCAAAACAACCCTCACCCAGCTGCTCACCCAGAGTCAGCCTGCACACACAGACACACACACAGACACACACAGACACACAGACACACACGAACACAGACACAGATACACAGAAACAGACCACACAGACACACACACACAGATACACAGACACAGACACGCGCACAGACACAGAGACACGCGCACAGACAGAGACACACAGACACAGAGACACGCGTGCAGACACAGAGACACGCACAGACACGCACAGACACAGAGACACAAACACAGACACACAGAGACACACAGACAGAGATGCGCGCAGACACAGACAGACACAGAGACATAAAGACACAAGCACAGACATAGAGACACACAGACAGAGACACACGCACACAGAGACATGCACAGACACAGAGACAGACACAGAGACAGACACACAGACACACACACAGACACAGAGACACGCACAGACACACACAAAACAAAGAACCCCCGTGTAGCCTTAACAGACTGTAGGGGCAAGTGCTGTTAGCGAGCACCTATGAAGGCCGGAACGGAACACAAGGGGGTGGTGGCCAGCACCACGCCCGACCGCCTTTGTCTCCCCTGTGGCGATGTTTACACCGCACCAGGTACTCATTTAAGGCTGAGTCGACCTAGGGGAGGCCCAGGACCGGTTCAGATAATCGTCACTGGTGTTGGCCGTGAGCGGGAATCGAACTCTGGTCGCCGGGTTCGTAGCGCAGCGTAGCGCTAACCACTACGCCATCACTCCACACACAGACACACACACTTATACACAGACACACACATATAAACAGACACACGACATATACACAGACACATAGATATATACACAGACACACATATACACAGACACACACACATATACACAGACACACAAACATATACACAGACACACAGACATATACACACAAACACGATGATACAACAACGATGATGACGACAACACAACGATGATGACGACAACAACAACGATGATGACGACAACAACAACGACGGACAACACAACGATGATGACGAACCGTTCCCGAGGGAACTCCCAGCGGTCGCACGGCCCCGTCACCCCCGACAGCTCCACGCCGCTCAGCGCAGACAGCACCTGGGGCGGCACCACAACCACCACCACCATCATCACCACCACCACCACCTCCACCACCACAACCACCACCGCTACCACCGCCACCACCACCCACCGCTACCACCACCGCTAACAACCACCACCACCTTCACCACCTCCCCCACACCTCCACCACCTCCGCCACCACCTCCACTACCACCAGCATCTCCACCACCACCACCTCAACTGCACCTGCAGCTCCCCCCTCTCCGCTCGTCGACCCTCTCCTCCTCCGCGTGAGGCCGGTGACAGCACCGATGGTGATCAGCAGCAGGAGGGCGGCGGCGCAAGAACCGCCGCCCACTCTCACGGGAGCAGCCGGGCGGTGTCCACTGTCACAGGAGACAGGCGAGGTAGTCAACATCTCATAGCCACCGTGATGATGAGAGAGTAGAGAGAGACACGCAGACTCCAAATATACAGCAGCAGCAGGCATCGTCAGGGTCGGGATCGAACCCACGACCTCCTGCAGACCAGGCGAGGTAGTTAACATCTCATAGCCACCGTGATGATGATGAGAGAGAGAGACGCAAACTCCAAATATACAGCAGCAGCAGGCATCGTCAGGATCGGGATCGAACTCAACGACCTCCTGCAGAGCGGCGAGGCAGTCGACATCTTACCAGCCGGCGTCCTCTGCGGCACGACGAGGAGCCATGCAGAGCGGTGAGCGAATCCCGCGGCGTTGCCCGCCAGGCAGGTGTAGCGGCCCGAGTCGTCCGTCACCTCCACGCCCACCGTCTTGAGGCGACACGGCGGGCGGCGCGGAGAGAGCGAGCGAATCAGCATCTTGTTTGTATACCCACGACGCAGGCTGCTGTGCGGGGTAGGGGTGATTGGGTTGGAGCGTCGCATGTAAGCGTTGTGTCGTCGAACTCGCCACCACCCGACATGGCCAACGAGTAAGATTCAGTGTCACGTGAACAGTTTCAACGTTATTTATTTATTTATTAGGTACCAGCAGTAAGTACCCGGCGAAGCGGTGGCTTCTGGGTCCTGTTGTTTAGAGGGTGACGTCAGCCTCCACTGAGTTTGGGTGGGTGAGATGGGGTGGGTGGGTGGGTTAGTGGGGTAAGTGAATGAGTAGGTGAGTAGGTGGGTAGGTTGGTGACTGGGTGGGTGAGTTAGTAGGTGGGTGGGTGGGTGAATGAGTGGGTGAGTGGGTGAGTGGGTGGGTGGGTGACTGACTGGGTGGGTGAATGAGTGGGTGGGTGAATGAGTGGGTGGGTGGGTGAGTAGGTGGGTGGGTGACTGGGTGGGTGGGTGAGTGAGTGGGTGGGTGGGTGACTGGGTGGGTGGGTGAGTAGGTGGGTGGGTGGGTGACTGGGTGGGTGAGTGGGTGAATGAGTGGGTGAGTAGGTAGGTGGGTGGGTGGGTGGGTGCGTAGGTGAGTGGGTGGGTGAGTGGGTGGGTGGGTGAGTGAGTGGGAGAGTGAGTGGGTGACTGGGTGAGTTAGTGGGTGGGTGGGTGACTGGGTGGGTGGGTGACTGACTGGGTGGGTGAATGAGTGGGTGGGTGAGTAGGGGGGTGGGTGACTGGGTGGGTGGGTGGGTGACTGGGTGGGTGAGTAGGTAGGTTGGTGGGTGGGTGGGTGAATGGGTGGGTGGGTGAGTAGGTGGTGGGTAGGTGAGTGGGTGGGTGGGTGAGTGAGTGGGAGAGTGAGTGGGTGAGTGGGTGACTGGGTGGGTGGGTGAGTGGGTGAGTTAGTGGGTGGGTGGGTGACTGGGTGAATGAGTGGGTGAGTGGCTGAGTAGGTGGGTGGGTGAGTGGGTGGGTGGTGAGTGGGTGGGTGACTGGGTGGGTGAATGAGTGGGTGGGTGGGTGACTGGGTGGGTGAATGAGTGGGTGAGTAGGTAGGTGGGTGGGTGACTGGGTGGGTGAGTAGGTGGGTGGGGTATGTGAGTGGGGTGGGTGAGTGAGTTAGTGGGTGAGTGGGTGAGTTGGTGGGTGAGTAGGTGGGTGAGTGGGTGGGTGAGTGAGTGGGTGGGTGGGTGAGTGGGTGGGTGAGTGAGTGGAGTGGGTGAGTGAGTGGGTGGGTGAGTGAGTGCGTGGGTGGGTGAGTGAGTGGGTGGGTGGGTGAGTGAGTGAGTGAGTGGGGTGGGTGGGTGGGTGGGGGAGTGAGTGGGTGAGTGAGTGGGTGAGTGAGTTAGTGAGTGAGTGGGTGAGGTAGTGGGTGGGTGGGTGGGTGAGTGAGTGGGTGAGCTTGGTGGGTGAGTTAGTGGGTGGGTGAGTGGGTGGGTGAGTGCGTGAGTGTGTGAGTGGGTGAGTGAGTGAGTTAGTGGGTGAGTGGGTGAGTGGGTGGGTGGGGTGAGTTGGTGGGTGAGTAGGTTGGGTGAGTGAGTGGGTGGGTGCCCCCGTGCCTCGCCCGCTCACCGTGAGGACGTGCACGTAGGGTGAGCCATTGGGTGCTTCGAGGCTGCCATTCACCTCTACGTGCTTGAGCCACTGCACGTGTGGTGCAGCTGCTGCTGACTGCTGCCGCCAGCGCTCTGCAGGACGACGCAGCGGAGCTCCACGTCGCTCCCCCTCCGCCGCCGTCACGTTCGCCGGGAGGCCGTCCTGCAGCGACGGCCGCTGGGGCTGGCCACGCTCTGCACGCCTGGAGGGGCGGGAGGGGGGTGGGGGGGAGGGGGAGGGGAGGGGAGGGGAGAGGGATGGGAGGAGAGGGAGGGAGGGGGAGGGGAGGGGGGAGAGGAGAGGGATGGAGGAGAGGGGGGAGAGGAGAGGGAGGGGAGGAAACAAATTACGAAATGATGAACGAAGCAAAGTGTCGACTACACCGAGCATCTTCTTGTTTTCACTAATCGTAAAAAAAAGAGGAAAAAAGGGAAGGGGGGAGATGGAGGGGTGAGAGGAAGAGGGGAGAGGGAGGGGGGAGAGGGGGAGATGAGAGGGAGGGAGGGAGGAGAGGGAGGGGGGAGAGGGAGGGGAGGAGAGGGAGGGAGGGGGAGGAGTGGGAAGGGGGGAGAGTGGAGGGGGGGGGTCACCACCGATGACGACCGAGCTGGTACGAGTGCTGGATGGAGCCGTGCTGGTTGCTGACCACACAGCTGTAGTTGCCCGCGTCAGAGGGCACCACGCTGTCCAGCACGAGCGTCCAGTCCTTGATCCTCAGCTTCAACAGCAGCAGCACAACAACAACAACATTATACACACACACACACATCGCCATTGTCTTACACACTGCTTGGTCCCCACCAAAGTGTCGGACCAGACAATGTCACTCCCAGGACCCTGTCTAGCAGCTCGTGGCTGCTTCCTGGACGGCGTGACAAATAACAAGAGGCCGTCCACCCTTTCACCCGGCCATCAAACAGTTTGTACTATGAGACATCTCATTTGCCAGTGGCAAAATAAAGTAATAGGTTTTACCTATTCAACTGGTACAAAAACTGACACCTTTATACAAGGCATCATGTTTGCAATAATACACAACACAAGCAGTCAAAATGCAAACAAAAAGAAACAACTCTGATGATGATAATGATATGCACTGTCCTTGAAGTTGATTGGTCCACACCTGAGACAGCTTTTCTTAGAGCCCAGTCTCACCCTGGTGTTGGACCAGACGACGCCAAAAGTTTGTGTCAAGATGTGAAACCCATAATTATAGATTTGAAGCTTTCGTGACTGCAAGGATTCATATTCTTAGTTTTTTTTCGGTAAAGTCACGTAGGTAAAAAAATTTTAATTAATAAAAGTAAAATAATAAAATAAAAATAACGACGTTGGGAAGCTTGTGTTGCCTCCGAAACGTGATTTTTATTTAATTTTTATTTTACTTTTATTAATATAAATGTTTTACCTACACAGTGACTTTACCAAAAAAACCTAAGAATATGAATGTGAAGCCCAACCCGCTCACCTGGCCCCGCTCACCCAGCCCCGCTCACTGACCCCGCTCACCCAGCCCCGCTCACCCAGCCCGCTCACCCGGCCCCGCTCACCCTGCCCCGCTCACCCGGCCCCGCTCACCCGGCCCTGCTCACCCAGCCCGCTCACCCAGCCCGCTCACCCAGCCCCGCTCACCCTGCCCCGCTCACCCAGCCCCGCTCACCCAGCCCGCTCACCCAGCCCGCTCACCTAACCCGCTCGCCCGGCCCCGCTCACCCGGAAGGCCCCGAGGCGCCGCTCCCTCCCCGCCGTGGAGGGCGCCCTCCGTCGTGGAGCCAGACGACGGAGGGCGTGGGCACTCCGGTGGCGAGGCAGCGCAGCTTGACGCTGCTGCCGCTGGGCACCACCCACAGCGGCTTGGACAGCGAGCCGGACATGCGGCTCCAGCGAGGTGGGCCACCAGACCCCGTGGTCGTGCGCACTTGGGGGGCGGGGGGAGAGATACGTCACTCACCACTCACCCACCACTCGCCACTCACCACTCACTCACCACTCACTCACACCGCCACTCACCACTCACCACTCACACCGCCACTCACTACTCACTCACCACTCACTCACCACTCACTCACCACTCACACCGTCACTCACCACTCACACCGCCACTCACCACTCACACCGCCACTCACCACTCACACCGCCACTCACCACTCACACCGCCACTCACCACTCACCACTCACACCGCCACTCACTACTCACTCACCACTCACTCACCACTCACTCACCACTCACACCGTCACTCACCACTCACACCGCCACTCACCACTCACACCGCCACTCACCACTCACACCGCCACTCACCACTCACACCGCCACTCACCACTCACACCGCCATCTCACCACTCACACCATCACTCACCACTCACACCGCCACTCACCACTCACACCGCCACTCACCACTCACTCACCACTCACACCGCCACTCACCACTCACTCACCACTCACACCGCCACTCACCACTCACACCGTCACTCATCCACTCCACACCGCCACTCACCACTCACCACTCACACCGCCACTCGCCTCACACCGCCACTCACCACTCACACCGTCACTCATCCACTCACACCGCCACTCGCCACTCACACCGTCACTCGCCACTCACACCGCCACTCAC